TCAACCTCTGAAGTAACTGGGATAACAGGCGTGCACCATCTTGCCCAGCCTACTTAGCTTTTCATTGTTTCATTATATATTAAAAAATACATTGTCCTTAATATTTTTTCATAGGTACTGGAGATTGAACCCAGGCTTAATGCATGCTAGGCAAGCAGTCTACCTCAAAGCTGCATTCCTTAGTCTTTTTATTTTATTTGCTTATTTGTTTTGGTACCGGGGGTTGAACTTGGGGTCTCTATCCCTAGTACTTTTTATTTTTAAAGTTGAGACAGGATTTACTAAGTTGCTGTGGGTCTTGCTAAATTGCTGAACCTGGCCTTGAACTTGTATTCCTCCTGAATTGCTGGGATTACAGGCATACTATGCCTCCTTGCCTGACTTTTATTTTGAGACTGGAAGATAGAATCTCACTGAATTGCCCAGGCTAGCCTCAGACTTTGCATCCTCCTGCCTCAGCCTCTGAAATTGCTAGGGTTACAGGTATACATACCACACCAGACAAAATTTATTGATTGCACATAAATTATGCCAAAAGGGAAAATGATCTAAATATTAGGGAGAAGGAAAGGAAATACACACAGTTAGATTAGCGTAAGTGTTGAAGCAATAATTATTTAATTAGTGTAGGTTACACATAAAACTGAATCCAGGTGCTATGGCACATGCTTGTGATCCAGTGACTTGGAGGCTGAGGTAGGAGGATCACAAGTTCAGGGCCAGCCTTAGCAATGCAACTTAGTGGGACTTTGTCTCAAAATAATAAAAAAGGGCTGGGGTATAGCTGAGTGGTAGAGCCCCCTGGTTCAGTCCTTAGTACTGGAGGTGGGGGGACGGGGTTTAGGAGAAATATTATTTTTTTAAGTTTCTAAGACATGTTATTTGTGGATATGGAATTTTTCCACACATAATATAGGAGCAAAATTGATGACACTGACTTAACAGTTGGGTGTTACTGTGGAGGTAGTTTATATTTAAAATGACTAGAAAGGCCTTTAGCATCTAGATTCTGGTCTTAGAATATCATTCCCCTCAAATATCAGTCCTTAAATAAATGGCTGATTCTAGTCTGGGGCAGGAAATGTATGAGATGAGTGTGTAACATCTATTCACTAGCAAGGATTTTATCAGTTACTGGTGTTGTGGGTGAAAGGGCTCAGGAGCCAAGGGAAGATGTTCTCAATGGCCAAAATGAACATTTTGAGGACCAGTAAAGGTAACTGCATGGATCAAAACATTAAATGTTTAAATTGTGATATTGTAATAGTAGTTTGTGAATGAGCTTATTGGTTACTTTGGATGCTGCTGAATCAACTCATTTTGAAAAATTGTAAAGGGAAACTTTACCACTTTAAGGGTAAAGGGAAAGAATCAAGAAGAATAGAGAATCAAAACTTTTCCTGTATGAACTATAACACTTGAGAACCAAATAGTAGGTATGGGTTTTTATTTTATTTATTTATTTATTTTAATGGAAGTGTTCTACTTGTAAATATAGAAGGAATGATAGATTTAAAACTGATTGGATCTGGGCTGGGGGTGTGGCTCAAGCCGTATCGCGCTCACCTGGCATGCGTGCGGCCCGGGTTCGATCCTCAGCACCACATACAAACAAAGATGTTGTGTCCGCTGAAAACTAAAAAATAAATATTAAAAAAAAAATAAAACTGATTGGATCTACAAATTCCATTCATATATGAGTTTGTCGGGATGAACCCAACTACTGTGTATAATTATAACGTTCTAATATTAATTTTTTTTTTAAAAAAAAAGATTGTATGTAGACATTGAATATGTCTCCTAAAGGAATAAAGCATCACCCCAATGAGTAGTCTTGGAGGAAAATAAAAGTTAGACTTGCATCATGACTCTAGATCCAGCTATCAATTTTCAGGGCATACAGAGAACAGAGGTGCTTGTTAAATACCACTTGTATGTGATCAACAGTATCCAGACTTTTGGAAACTACAGGAGGTGACCTGGTTCTTTAACAAATAAATTGCAAGGAAAAAAAAAAAAAGATGAAGGAAGATGACCTATAGCTTGAAATTTAAGAAACTTAAGATAAGCAAATGTGTGGATGTTATTTGGATTCTAATTCAAACAAACTTAAAAGTATGCTATTTGAGAGCATTTGAAATTTGAATGTAGACTAGATGTTTGACATTAGGCATACAATGGTACTGATTTTTTTAAAAAATTTTAAAAAATTTTCGTTGTCAATGGATCTTTTATTTACTTATATGTGGTGCTGAGGATTGGACCCAGGGCACATGCCAGGCAAGTGCTCTACAACTGAGCCACAACTCCAGCCCATTTTTAATTTTATTATTTTTATTTATTTACTTGAGGTACTGGGGATTGAACCCTATGGGCTTTGTACCACTAAGCTACATCCCAGCCCTTTATGTTTACTATTTTATTTTGAGACAAGGTATCACAAAATTGCCCAGCATTTGGATCACTGAGGCTATCCTAGAATTTGGAGATCCTTCTGCCTCACCCTCCTGAGTAGCTGCTTGTAATAGGCAGGGGCCATTGCACATAACTTGAATTTCTTTTTTTCAAGTTTCTAAGACATGTTATTTGTCTTTTATAGCTACATACCAAAATACTTCTGAATATATTTGAAACTTGCTTCAAAATGATTGGAGGGAAGTAGAGATGTAGATTAATTCAAGGTTAATTTTGAGTTGATAAGATACCCAGCTTCCAAAATTGACCACTTTTGTATTTAATAAAAATTTAGATATCATTAAAAGTAGCTGAGGGCCTTGGGACCTGTAGCTCAGTGTGGTAGAGACCTTAGTTTGCCAAGTGAAAGGCCTTGGGTTAAATTTAAAGAGGAAGAGGAGGAGGAGGCAGAAAGGGCCATTGGTCTTAATTTGGAGAGTCATTCGTGTATGATAAGAATTTGCCCTTCACCAGTTACAGTGTGAGTCTCAAATTTATTGCCCTTATCCAAGCCCCCCATCCCGACTCCCCGCCCCAGCACTGGGAATTGAACCCATGAGTGCTCTACCATTGAGCTACACTCCCCCATCTTTTTTTTTTTTTTTCAGGCAAGGTTTCTAAATTGCCCAGGTTACTCTGGAACTTGGGATCTTCCTGCCTCAAACTCCTGAGTTGCAGGCACATACCACTATGCCCTGCCCAGATTTTCTTCTTGATGTAGCAGTGTGTTCAGTGTACGCTGATCTTTAGTTTCTTAAATCCACTTTTATCTTATTTATTTGTGTATGTGTGTGTGTATGTATGATCGAACTCAGTGATGCTCTACCACCAAACTACATCCCCAGCCCCTTTTTATTTTTTATTTTGAGATAGGATCTTGCTAAATTGCAGATGCGGGCCTCAAACTTGCTTTCTTCCTGCCTCAGCCTCCCCAGTATTCAGTAGCTGGAATTGTAGGCATGTTTACCATTCCGGGCTGTCTGGCAATTGAGAAGAAGATATAAGAATATCCTTAAATTGAGTAAAAATTCCTTTACACACCCTCCTCCTTCACACCCTCCTCCCCACTCTCCTCTTTCCCACCCTCTTCCTTCTTCTCTGCTTCCTCCTCCTGTTCTTCTAGTATGATAAGTATCCAAGTGTCTTTATAGCAAAATAATAGAGTGGTGGTGGGGAATTCAGTTTTGTTTTTTTCCTTATGAAAAATTAAAGATTTGGTGTAGAAAGAGGTTAACCAGGGGCTGGGGTTGTGGCTCAGTAGTAGAGCATTTGCCTGGCAATGTGTGAGGCCCTGGGTTTGATTCTCAGCACCACATAAAAATAAACAAATAAAGTTAAAAAAAAAAAAAGAGAGAGAGATTGTAGACCAGTTAAAAGCAAGTTCAACACTTCACCAATTAAAACTGTTTCCCAAACTGCACCTGGTAGTAACTAACTCAGTGGGGCATTGCAGAATATTTTAAATTTTCAAGAGAAACAATGCCATCTGTTGGGCATTGCCCAAACTACTGCTATCAGGTTGTATGAACCTAATGACTTAATAAACATGGTGGTTCAGTTTTGTTTTTGGCTAGTGGATGTGGTGAAAAAACTACTGAGACACTAAGGGCGCCAAGAGCCTCTGCAGTAAAGGCTTTGTTTGAACATTGAGCAATAATACTGTTCCTATTCTAAGACAGACTGAGCCTTAGTCAGCTAATATTGGCAAGCAAAAGAACAGAAGCTTTTTATTTCCAGTGCAGAATTGTAGGCTTAATTTTTAAAAGAGGCATGTAGCATAGAAGGTGTTTTCAAATTAAAGGTACGTTCAAGTTATGATGGAGCCCCTTCTAGAATTTCCTAGACTAGAATTAGAAGGTAGTAGTAGTATTGGGACTAGAGTATGACAAGTAAGGCTCTCATCTTAGGTATAAAATTTATAGGAGCACCAAAAAGGCTGCGTAGTCACCGTATGGCATTTTAACAACCCCAGTGGCAACTGAACCCAGGGACTCAAGCATACTAGGCAAGTACTCTACCATCAAGCTAAGCTACAATCCCCAGTCCCCCTCTTTTTTTGTTCAAAAATTTATTTTAATTTATTTATTGTGGTGCTGGGGGTCAAACTTAGGGCCTCACACTTGGTAGGCAAGTTCTGTGCTACTGAGCAACACCCTTAGCCCTTGTTTTAAATTTTATTTGGAGAGAAGGCCTCAAACTTGCAATCCTCCTATCTTAGCCTACAGAGTAGCTGAGATTACAAGTGTGCGCCACTATGCCCTGCTCATAACACATCATTTTTAAAAGATACATATTAATGCACAATAATGATAAGCAAAATACTGATTATTTTTAATTTTTAAAAAATATTTTGTGATTGCCGGGGTTGAACCCAGGGTCTCACACATATTAGGTAAGCACTTTGCCAGTGAGCTGCATCCCCAGCCCTAAAATACTGATTTTTAAATAAACTGTGTATTTGCATGACTCAGCTCTGATTCTATATTTTGTGTATAACTATTTCTCCAATTCTTAGGTCAATGTCTCATTTAAACTCTTTCTTATAGCATGGCGGACACCGACCTGTTTATGGAATGTGAGGAGGAGGAGTTGGAGCCATGGCAGAAAATCAGTGACGTCATTGAGGACTCTGTAGTTGAGGATTATAATTCAGTGGATAAAACTACTACAGGTAACAAAAGCTCTTTTGATCTTAAATTGTTTAAATTAATTAAGTTGGTGTTTTGGCTAAGAAATTGTAAGGTGGAGAAGGATTTTTAAGAATTTGGGGATGCCTCATTGTGGCATTGATGCTACCTTCTTTTCCATGCTCTAGCCTGTGTCCTGTGTGTACTTGAGCTTCCTCATCGATAAACTAGAAAAAACTATATTTAATTCATTAAAAACATGGAGAGGCTGCTTACCCAGTGTTTATCAATATCCCTCTTACTAAATGATGAATGAATAGAATGTCAAGTGCTGGTGTGTGTCTGAGCTCATTTATGTATCCAGTCAAATATAGGTTCCCATAGGCTTGGGGTTTTTTGTTTTGTTTTTTGTTTGTTTTGTTTAATTTTACTTGAACTTGGTTTCCTTTGTGAGCTGAGCAGAAATTGCTTTGTGTCTGCCTTCGTGGACAGTTTACAAATTTTAGGTTTGTTAGCTTCTCTTTCATACATGTGATATTGCAGGGTCCAATTCTAGATTACCCTGAATTCTAGAAAGTGGGTGACAGTACTCCCCCATCTCCCCCCACCTCCCAAAAAAGTGTACCGGTTGCTATTTTTTATCTTCCTTGCCTTGCGTCCTGAAGTTGGCATTGGTTTAGGCTGAAACAGGACACTACAGGGTCTTGTAGTTGGCTTAATACAAATGGATATGAATACCAGTAGTAGTGCTGATAAGCCTGTGAGTCTTAGAGGTTTGCTAGTGCTATGTAAGCAGAACATTAACATCTGGGTTCAGTGGGGTCGGTTATCTCATTTAATTAATGAGAACATGTGAGACGAAGAAGGGATTGTGTCTAAATGAATGGACTATGGGATAATTTAGAGGATGAATGTTGGATTTATGAATGAAACAGGAAACTTTTTGATTGTAGAGACCCATGACGAGATGGAAAGGGAAGATTAGAGCAGTATCCTTTAGTGTCCTCTGTCCCTGTCTCCAAGTGACTATGCCTCCCCTTCCCCACAGTTTCTGTGAGCCAGCAGCCTGTCTCGGCTCCAGTGCCCATCGCTGCCCATGCTTCTGTTGCTGGGCACCTCTCTACATCCACCGTTAGTAGCAGCGGGGCACAGAACAGCGACAGTACAAAGAAGACTCTTGTCACACTAATTGCCAACAACAATGGTAAGTGGGATTATGGGGAAATTCTTCCTGGGCTAGAGGGGTAAGAGGACAGAAAGGTCTTAGGGACAGCTATATCTGTTAGATACCAATGTGTGGCTCTGTTAGTTGGAGAAGGACTGATACGGAAGTGATTCTGTAGGTGGTGCTGTTCCTTCTAAGTTGGTGTTGAATTGATACTGGTGTTTCAAGTCAGAAGCCAGCAGATTGTTGCTGCTGATAATTTCTAGGAGAAAAAATATAAACCCAACATTCCTATTATAGAGAACTGGGGCTGTTCCTTGGTTGATTTTGCTTCTATTTTTAAATTAGAAGAGTCCTATTCCTTTATTAAGGATTTTCTCAGGGCAGCGTTGTTGTGTATTCTGTCTGGCAGCTTTATTTGGCTTTTGGTATGGAAGATAGGTTAGGATTGTTGTCCACCTGAAAGAAATGGCAAAAACGAGTAGTATTTTTAATGTTTTTATTGATTAGAGGGGCTGTATAGTATTGGTTTCTTTTTCCTTGCTGAGAAGTGTTTTATGTTTTTGAAGATGAATTATTTTCCAGTTATATTTCAGGATTCTTAATAAAAATAATCATTTTCATGGAAACATAGCGTTCCTGTAGTGGACTTTAATTATTTTATCTTCTTTGGAAATGAAAAACTTTCTTACCACAAGAATAGTATGTGCATCATAGAAGAACTAAGGGAAAAAAAAACAAAAGGAAGAAAAAAGTTGTTTAATTCCACCACCTGGAGATGATAATTTGTAATTCTTCCTCTGTACATACATGTAATTTTATATGCTACATGTAGTGATGAGCTTTTTACAAAAAAATAGGATCATACAAGATTCTACATTACTCTTTGCTTGCTTTTTTCCCTTTACTATGTAGTGAATATCTTCTCACCTTAATTATAACATTTTTGGTGACTGTTTCCCATTACTTGATGATTATTAACAATAGGTTGTAAATGGGTATATTGCAGTTTAAAGAACTCTAATGAACATATCTGTCTTACATCCTTAATATGAGAATACATTGCTAAAAATCATACTGTTGGATCGGAGGTCATCCCATCCCAGCTTTTTTTAATTTGTTTTGGTTTGGTTTGGTTTGGGGGCAGGTACAGGGGATTGAACTCAGGGGCATTCGACCACTGAGCTACATCCCCAGCCCTATTTGGTATTTCATTTAGAGACAGGGTCTCACTGAGTTGCTTAGCTGCCTCACTGTTGCCGAGGTGGGCTTAGAACCCGAGATCCTTCTGCTTCAGCCTCCTGAGCCTCTGGGATTTTAGGCATGCACCACTGCACTCAGCAGCTTTTTTAATGATTTGATCAACATTGTTTCTAAATTGGCCTTCTAGAGATATTATATCTAGAATAAAGTTTAAATTTCTTTTAGAGGAGTGTATAGTACAATTATTTTTGATATGACCATTTATGGATATACTCCTATTTTTTTTCTTACATTTAATAGCATTCCAGTTTTCATGATTACAACAGTGATATAGTAAACATTCTCAGGTGTGTTAGTTAATTTTACCTTCATGTGACCAAAATACCAGACAAGACCGCCTTAAAAGAAGAAAAGTGTTAGAAGTTCAGTCCATGATCAGCCAACTCCATTGGGCCTTAGGTGAAACACATCATCATGAAAGGATGTGGCAAAAGAAAGCTACTCAGTTTTGGCAGATGGGAAGAGGGCAGATGACAGCAGATGAACCCTTCCAGGGCATGCCCCAGTGACCCACCTCCACCAGCCATATCTCCCTGTCTATAGTTACCACCCAGTTAGTGCTTTCAAACTAGTGGACCGATTTAGGTTATAGCTCTCATAATCTGATCATTTCATCTTTGATGATTCCTGCATTAACAGCTTTTGGGAGACACCTCATATCCAAACCATAATATCACGTTACAGGTATTTGCCCACTGTGTAAGCATATCTGCAGGTATAAAGTCTTAGGGGGTTGGGTTGGGGTTGTGGCTCAGAGGTAGAGTGCTTGCCTACCATGCATGAGGCACTGGGTTCAATCCTCAGCACCACATAAAAATAAAATATTGTGTCCACCTATAACTAACTAAACAATAAATACTGAAAAAAAAAGTCTTAGGAGTAAGATGGTTGGATTAGACATTTAAATTTGGTAGATATTGTCAAGTTGCCCTCATAGGTTGCTCTAAATAAGTGCCGACCAGTAGCTCTTTCCCCATATTGAAACCACTAGTATTTAGAAATGTTAACCTATATTCATGATAAAAAGAAAACAAATGGAGCTAGACTGTTAACCAGGAGTGTTTTCTCCCAGAAAATTTTTGTACATATATAAGCATAAATTAAGTTATCCAGTTTGTCCAGCATTTCTGGGGGCATATAATACAATTCTGTAACTTTTTTCATCAGATCTCAAAGTGCTAGCAAGTATAAGGATAAGATTTCAGAGTAAACGAAGAAATATTTCCTCTTACAAACCCTATTTCCCTTTTAAGCCTTCAGTTTAAGTGTACTGGTCCATTATTTATGTATTATAATAGTAACATAACAAGGGAGAATAACTTAGGCAATTCAGTATTGTTTTACTTTTAGTGTGCTAGAATTTTTTTTTTTTGAAATGGGCCACAGAGGTACATTCCCGGCTCTTTTTTTTTTTTTTAAAGAGAGAGAATTTTTTTTTTAAGAGAGAGAATTTTTTAATATTTATTTTTCGGGGACACAACATCTTTATTTTTATGTGGTGCTGAGGATCGAACCCAGCGCCCCTCGCATGCCAGGCGAGCAAGTTACCGCTTGAGCCACATCCCCAGCCCATTCCCGGCTATTTTTATGTATTATTTTGAGATAGGATCTTGCTAAATTGCTGAGAATCTCACTGAATTGCTAAGGTTCGCCTTGAATTTGAGATTTTCCTGCCTCTGAGGAGTTGCTGGTAATACAGGTGTGTGCCGCTATGCCTGGCCTCATGTATTCGATATTTTAGAAAGTTAGAAAGTTGTCTTTTCTTTTTCCCTAGGCTCCACCCTCCATTTAAATTAGTTTTAAAACCAGTTGGGCTCCTGATTCCTATTAGTGCTACCTCCAATAATTATTAGAAAGACTATTCCTTTGTACATTTGGTTTTTGTCATTTCGTGTTTCTCTTATTTTCCTTGCTCCCTCTCTACATAAAAGTATTTCCTTGTCTCTTAAGATTGTATTTATTCTTTAGTGGTTATATTAAAATACTAATTTCTTGACCTCCAGATCTGTGCAAGAAAGGTAAAGGATTCCATACTATGGGCTTAGACCTTATATTTTGTGACAGTATAATGAAGTTTAGGACATGAGTCTTTTTTTTTTTTTTTTTTTTTGATACCAGGGGAGCTTAAACACTGAGCCATATCATATCTCAGTCCTTTCTTTTTTCTTTTGAGACTGGATACTGCTAATTTGCTTACAGCCTCACTAAGTTGCTGGGGCTGGCTTTGGAGGACATTTAACCAAACCATAGTAAAGTGGATCAAAAAGGTTAACAAGTGCTGAAACTGAAGTACAAAACTCTCTGAAAAAAATTAAGACATAGATCTTTATGACTGTGGATTAGGCAAAATATGACACTAAAAGCAGAAGTAACCAAAGGGGGGGAAAATAGATACATGGACTTTATGGAAATGAAGACCTTTTAAAAGATACAGTGAAGAAAATAAAGATAACCCTCAAAATGAGAGAAAAAATTGCAAATCATATCAATAAGGGACGTGTATCTATTATATATATATATGACTGCTAAAAAGACAAATAATGCAGTTTAAAAATGGTTAAAGGGGGCTGGGTTGTGGCTCAGTAGTAGAGAATTCGCCTATTGTATGTGAGGAACTGGGTTCAATCCTCAGCACCACATTAAAAAAAATAAATAATAAAGGTATTGTGGTCATCTATAAAAAATTTTTTATATAGACAAAGGACATTGAATTGGCATTTCTCCAAAAAAAAAAAATATGCAAGTGTCCAGTAACCACTTTGAAAGAAGATGATAAATATCATGTCATTGAGGAAATGCAAATAAAAGCACAATGGCGTACCACTTCATACCCACTAGGATAGCTGTAATTAAAAATATATATACCTATTATGTACAGTAACATGTTATAAAGAATGTGGAGAGATTGGAACTGTCCTAAATTGCTGGTGAGAATGTACAATATAGTGTGGTTGCTTTGGAAAGCAGTTGGCAGTTTCTCAAAAAGTTGATCGTAGCCAGTCTTGGTGGCACATGCCTGTATTCCCAGCTACTCGGGAGGCTGAGGCAGGAAAATCCCAAGTTCAAGACTAGCATGGGCAACTTGGTGAAATCCTACTTCAAAATAAAAAATAAAATGGGCTGGGGATGTGGTTCAGTGGTAAAGTGCCCTTGAATTCAATTCCCAGTAACTAAAAAGAAAAGAAAAGTAAAGTTAAAACATATAGTTATCATGAGTCAACATTTCTAGCTGTCTCCAAGAGAATAGAACACATGTTCACACACACACAAAAAAAACTCCGTGCACAAATGTTCATAACAATGTTGTTTATAGTATTGTAGCCCAAACTGAAAACAATTTGAGTGTCCATTAACTGACAAATGGATAAACAAAATGTGGTATATCCATACAATGGATAAAAAGAAATTAAATGCTGAGGAATCTTAGAAAATTATGCTTTAGTGAAGGGAACCAGGCACAAAAGATCACATATTATATGATTTTGCTTATTAAATGTTCAGAATAGGCAAATCCAAAGAGACAGAGAAGAGATAAGGGGTTCTCAGGGGCTAGGAGAGAAGAGAAAGAGGGGTAAATGCTAATAGATATGGAGTTTCTTTTGTTGTGAAAAAAATGTTCTGAAATTTAACTAGTTGTGATGATTGCACAACCTGTGTATATACCAAAGTCCACTGAATTGCTGTCTATATGTGGTACTAGGGTTGAGCCCAGGACCTCACAAATGCTAGGCAAGTGCTTTCCCACTGAACTGCATCCCCAGCCCTTTTAAAAAGTTTTAATTTACTTATCATTTAAATTTATTATTTTTTAAATTTTTTATTTTTTGGTACCAGGGATTGAACCCAGGGACGCTTAACCACTGAGCCACATCCCCAGCCCTTTTTGTATTTTATTTAGAGACAGAATCTCACTGAGTTGGTTAGGGCCCTGCTAAGTTGCTAAGGCTGTCTTTGAACTCGCAATCCTCCTGCCTCAGCCTCCTGAGCTGCTGGGATTACAGGCGCGTGCAGCTAAAATTTTTACTTTTAGTCAGTGTTTTGCTGAATTGCCCAGGCTGCCCTCCACCTTGGGATTCTCCTGCTTTAGCCTCCTGAGTAACTGGGATTACATGCATGCGCCGTGGTGCCAGCCCAGAATTGTACACTTTAAATGAGTGTTCACTATATCTCAAGCTGGGGATTTGGGACAGCTGTGTGTGTGTGTGTGAGTGAGTGTGAGTGAGGTTGTGTGTGTGTGTGTGTGTGTGTTTTGTTAAGATTCAGGAGTATAGTTTTTAAACATTATTTCTATTTTTGTTGTTGTTGTTCTTCAAAATCTACTACTCATCATTTAGAAGTTATCCTGTAATCCTGATTGAGCATTTGTTTGCCTAGGAAAGAAACATGAATTGAAATAAACTATTGCTTAATTCTAAGCTGTGAGTGATATAAATTGAATGTTATTCTTACTGTATAACTTAATTTTTAGCTCTTATTGAATTTAAGCCTCTTTTTCTGGGCTTAAGGGTATGTAAGTAAATGTAAAGAATGAAATTAAACAATTTAACAGTAACCCACAACCCACGGACCAACTTAATGGGCTGGGGTTGTGGCTCAGTGGTAGAGCACTTGCCTAGCATGTGTGAGGCACTGGGTTGGATTTTCAGCACCACATATGAATAAATGAATTAAATAAAGGTCCATCAACAACTAAAAATATGTATTTAAAATTTTTTTAAAAGATTGAAATTTTTAAAAATTAAGACCTTAATATTTGTAATACTGCATGTATTATGAAAGAAGCTGCTGAGTCTCCTTCTATATTTAGACAGTTCACGGCCATGGCACCTAGTTCATATGAGTGCAGACTTAGAGAAGTGGTTGGGTAATTATTTTAAAGGCTTTTCAAACCTTAGAAATTTTGATTGCCACTTTAATCCTCCAGAAGCAGAATTTTGTAAGACAATTGAATTATCAGAATTTCTTTGAGGAAAGGCTTAAGATTGTAGAAATCATTTGAAAAGCTTCTAAAATACGAGTAAAAATGTTTCTAAAATAAGTGTACTTTAATTTACCCAGTGTGACCTAACATGACCTAACATGCCAGCTCTTGCTTTCCATTGAATTGTTGGACCTAATATGTGTTTAGAACCTCATGTTTTTGTTTACACCAACTGTACTTTTTGAAAAGTATATATTGCTTCTTAGCCTTTTGGCTAAGATCTAGTATATAGTTTAAAAAACCACCAAAATTCAAACATGACATTGATGCAGGAAGGGAATATATGCAGAAAATGCTGGGTTAACATTTCTTTATAATGGTAGGATATGTACAGATTTTGTGGGAACCTGCCTTGTGTTTAGAGACTTGCTAATGCTGGTTGATTCACACAAATGTAAAAATACTGCATCATTCCCTTCCTGTATCTAGTTGGGATGGTGACAATGATTACCTTAAATGAATATTTAGACTAATGGTATATATACAGAGATAATTTATTTTCTTTTGCCCTGGTAGTTAAAATAATTAGTATAAAATACTTTTTTTTTTTTTTTTTTGGTCTAGTTGATTACCCACTAATTTAGTGGTATAGAAAGAGCTGGAGGGGATGGGCTGGGGTTGTGGCTCAGCGGTATGGCGCTTGCCTAGCGCATGTGAGGCCCTGGGTTTGATCCTCAGCACCACATAAAAGTAAATAAATAAAACAAAGGTGTTGTGTCCAGCTACAACTAAAAAATAAATATTAAAAAAAATGGAGGGGAACCCAGAAGATTAAAATAGACTTAAGAGATGTCCATCAGTTTTACTTTGTGAACCTCTTGGCAATCTGATTCAAACACGATTCTTTTAAATACTACAATTGTAAATATGAATTCTGAGGATTTATACTAAAGAATTTATTTTTAGGACTGATAATGGTATGATTCTTTCACTTTTTCCTTATCTCATAGAGATATATATTGAAATATTTGCAGGTGATATGATCTGGACTTGTTTGAAAATAATGAGGGAATTGGTAAGTGTAGGAGTTATAGATGAAATAAGATTGCCATAAATTGATAATCATTGAAGGTAAGTGATAGGACATTATAATGAACCTCCATGTACCTGTTTTTATATATGTTTGAACTTTTCTATAGTAAAACATTTAAAATGAAAAAACATACAATTAATAAATTGTCAGTAAAGTTAGCCTAGGTAGATCTTGTTGGAATTTTTTGTTTTGTCTGTCAACTCCTATAGTCACTAGTCTACTGTCCCAATAGTCCACTGAAGAACTCTAAACTTCTGAGAAAATGGGGACAAGCCACTGTTGGCCCATTAATTGTCACCTGTATACCTACTCTTCGGTGGTCTAGCCCTGTAGCTAACTTTAGTGACTCTATCAAGTGGAAGATAAATTTCAGAGAGGCCCATCCCATTTTGATAATTTTGGGATAAAAAGTTGAGGCAATATTTTTGCTTGAATCTTTGACTTAGGAATATTAGCTTCCTGAAACTTTCTGTATTGTTTTAAATATTCCTTTGTAAATCAGGAAACAGTATCAATGATTTTTTATACAAATAGAGAACTTAAACATATTTATAAAATTGCTTTTCTCATAAATAAAAAGAATTGAAGACATTTCAGTAATAATTAGCTCAGTTTGTTAATATTTACTCATGAATGAATCATTGTCTTTTGAAATTAGATCATTTCAGTTGGTGTAGTTTAGTTTTTCACTTGGCCTTCTGTTGATCAGTTCTGATGACATACAGAAAAAGAAAGTAGGCAGCACATCAGTTTCTGTCTTTCCCATACCTCATGGAAGACAATGGTTGTTGCCCAGCAGTGTGAGGCTCTAGACTTAGCTTCCAATACGGCCAAAATAAACAGACAAAAAAAGACAGTGATTGTTTAGAGACTTTGGAATTTCTCAGATTTGACTCAGTAGCAAGGGTTGTCATTCCTTAGATGTTTGTCTACTTACTGAATTAATGTTCACATTCTCTTTTAAAAAGTTTAAGGGGATTAGCTAATAGCAAATTACTTTCTTTTTTTTTTTTTTACTATATTTTTTTAGTTGTTGATGGACCTTTATTTTATTCATTTATTTATATGTGGTGCTGAGAATTGAACCCAGTGCCTCACACATGCTAGGTAAGTGCTCTACCACTAAGCCACAACCCCAGCCACAAATTGCATTCTTATAAAATGGGTTTTACCCAGTAAAAGTATGAAAAAAGACATGAATTCTTTTGTTCTGCTGATTTGTTGTAGGGAGATTGTGTGGTCAATATAATAGTCACATACAAGACTTAATGTATCCTTTATCCCTATTTAAGACATGGGTGAGATGTTAGTGAACCACCCAACCTACTTGTTTTTCTGTTAGTTGTAGATTTGGGTGAAGCTTAAGTTTTTGGTGAGACCTGAGGTCAGTGGCAGTCAGATACTTTTATGTCTGAGACACCATTTCTTACCTAATACTTCAATGTTTGTTTAAAAATGTTTCTGGGAGGCCTGGGGTTGTGGGTCAGTGGTACTGTGCTTGCCTCGCACGTGTGAGGCACTGGGTTCAATCCTCAGCACCACATTAAAATAAATTAATAAATATTTAAAAAAATGTTTCTAGGGCTGGGGATATGGCTCAATGGTAAAGTGCTTGCCTGGCATGCATGAGGCCCTGGGTTCAAATACCCAAGCACCAAAAAAAAAAAAAAAAAAAGTTGCTGATATTCTTTTTTTTTCTGCCTTTTACCCTTTAGCTGGCAATCCTTTGGTCCAGCAAGGTGGACAGCCACTCATTCTCACCCAGAATCCAGCACCAGGTCTGGGCACAATGGTTACCCAACCAGTATTGAGGCCTGTCCAGGTCATGCAGAATGCCAACCATGTGACTAGTTCCCCTGTGGCCTCACAACCAATATTCATCACTACCCAGGTGAGTAGGACTCTGAATTCTGTGATTGGTAGACAAGGAGAGAAAGACTGTGTGAACCTTTGGGAGTCTAATTTAAGGTCTGACATCATTAGTAATGGCCACTAAGTCTTTTGTGCTGGATTTCTCACTAAGTTTTTTGAGCAGGATTTCTCATTTACTATTTCTTAATTTGATGCTCACTTTTGTGGAAAGACCAGCATAGCATTGTGGCTGGGTGATTTCTTCATATCCCTGAAGGGGTCTATTAATTGATGTGATTAAGGTCTAGGAAGAAATTAGTGGGAAAGCTCTAAGATAAGGCACTTTATCATTTGGCTCTCAAGGCTCCTTACCCTTTGCTTAGGCTATTTTTCTTCATGTGGGTAAGTTAATTGACTTTTGGAGATTTATAAATGAAATTGGTGAGCTTTGAAAGAAAAGGAAAACAGCTTATTTTTTTATTTATAATGTGGTGATTTGAATTTGAAAGCCTATGTTGAATTTGGAATATGAAGACAAATGCTTCTCTTTGCTTGTGGCTTCCGAGTAACAAAATTTTCTCTGATAAATTTGTCAGAGGGGCTGAGATTGTGACTCAGCGTGTGAGGCACTGTGTTCAATCCTCAGCACCACATAAAAATAAATAAAACAAAGTTTTTGTTTTTGTTTTTTAAAGAATGCTTAAAAAAATTTGTCAGAGGCTTGTGGCCTTTAAAGTGGACTTAAGGGACAATTTTGTAGGATTGTTTACATGTTGAATTACTCCAGTGAATATTGTTAAAGTGTTTGTCTTTTTTTTTTTTTTTTAACTTCTATGCTAATTTTAGCAGTTTAGGGGCTAGTTGGTAGATACAGTTTTTTCCTGTTAAATCAGGAAACAGGTTTTCATTTTGCCTCATGTGCCAATTTTTATTATCCAGTTTTGTTATTTTGTCACTAAAAAATTTGCCAAAATTTTCTAAATTTTTCCATCTCAGTCATTTAAAAGTTCTAACTTGAGAGAGAACCATTAGGTAAGAGTGTAGGAAGATACAGATCATACTACAGTCAATGTTAGTGTTAGATCTGCCTGTTAAAAGATCATTTTGCTTTTTAATGCAGGGATTTCCTGTAAGGAATGTTCGGCCTGTACAAAATGCAATGAATCAGGTTGGAATTGTGTTGAACGTGCAGCAAGGTCAAACAGTTAGACCAATTACATTAGTCCCAGGTAAGGAAGAATGTCTATCCATTTGAAATAAACCAGCATCTAGAAGATCTGTTTTTATCATTTACAAATACTCTAGGTATACTCAAAGAAAATGTTAAAGTACAAAAGTCTTAATGATTTAAGCCCAATTTTTAAAAAAATGTTTTTAACCTTTGCCAGGGTGGTGTCCTAATTTTCTACTGTTTTTCACCACCCTTCATGAGGTAGTAAAACTGGGTTTATTTAGTAACTATTTGTTTATTTTGTTAACTACTATTTTGGTCAACTAATAAGTTTGTTATCCTGAAGGAACGTTATTAATGCAAACTCCCAAATTCTGTACTCCAAGTACTTCTGCTCACTTATATGAATGAGACTATAAACTTATTTCACTTTAATTTTGTAGCATCAATTTTAGACATAAATTAAGCAAATGATATATCTTTCAAGGATATTTACCAATGACTAGATAATATTTTTTAAAGAATCTTGGGGAGAGGGGTGTGTAGCTTAGTGGTACAGTACATGCTTAGCATACCTGAGACTCTAGGTTCTATTCCCAGCACACACACACACACACACATACACACACACACACTCACACACTCACTCACTCTGTCTCTCTCTCTCACACACACACACACAGAGAAATATATTTTCCTCCAACTCCCCACATTTCTTGTTAAGTTTAGGCCAAAAAAGAGTATCTTAATGTTTGATTGTAAGGGTATCCCCTGTAGCTTATCTTCCTAATGTGTTTTGGGGTTTTTTTGTTTTGTTTTTGTTCTCAAAGCCCACTGGGATTTTTTGGCCATAAGTGTGACCAGTTTGCCCCATCATATTCTGGTATTTCGTTTTTCAGTGGAATTATCTATCGTGCCTGGAGCTATTCTCCTTTGGGACATCCTAGTAGAATGGCATAGTCTCTTTTCTATTTGAGGTTATAAAAAAGAATAGAAGACCCCTTTCGTAATCTGAGGAAGAAGAATCTCTTTCTCCAGGATCAAGCCTATCTTTAACCTTTAAACACTCAAGCTGGCTCTCTTCTAATACCAAAGTCAAGTTACTTATAGTATTCTTGGTATAAAAAAGTAGTATGGTAAGGTGTTTTATGAGGAGGAGTTAATGAGAATCTTAGGTTACTTACAATGATTTTTTTTCCATCAGCTTGGATACCTATTGATTTCTTAGATTTTAGAATCTGTATACCTCTGATGGTCATTGAACAGTTTGGGGAAATTATCTTTTCCCATTCTAGCATTTCTGGTAAAGAAAAGAGAATGTTTTATAGGTGAGCCCATTGATGAAGGTTTGGTACTTTTTTTGTGTGTCTCTCTTAAAAGCCCCAGGTACCCAGTTTGTTAAGCCGACAGTTGGAGTCCCACAAGTATTCTCTCAGATGACCCCAGTGAGACCAGGCTCCACAATGCCTGTGAGGCCCACCACCAACACCTTCACCACCGTCATCCCAGCTACTCTCACCATTCGAAGCACCGTCCCACAGTCCCAGTCGCAGCAGACCAAGTCCACTCCCAGCACTTCCACTACTCCCACTGCCACGCAGCCAACCTCATTGGGGCAACTAGCTGTTCAGCCTCCAGGCCAGTCCAACCAGACCTCGAATCCCAAGCTAGGTGAGCCTTGAGAAAAGGATATGGCAGACCAGGATGGGTGGTGGGCAGAGAACAGATGATTATCACTTGGTCAACGTAGCTCCTTCCTTCCCCTCTCCACCTGCAGTGAGCATTGCCAGCTTTGTCACTGTGAAACGACCTGGGGTTACAGGTGAAAATAGCAATGAAGTAGCCAAATTGGTGAATACCCTCAACACCATCCCTTCCCTAGGCCAGAGTCCTGGGCCATTGGTGGTATCCAACAATAGTTCTGCCCATGGTGCTCAAAGAACCAGCGGACCGGATACTTCAATGAAAGGTACAATAACTTTGAGAGACCTTGAGCAGCCAGTCATTCAAAAACATCAATAAAATATTTCTTTTATCTGAATTCTATATTCTGAAATGGAGAAATAAACTATAGTTGCTATAATTTGTTCTTATAAAAACTTTAAAGAATTCTGCAACCTGTACACTCAGAAAAACGAGAAATTATATTCCATCTGATTCAAATGTACGATATGTCAAGATCATTGTACTGTCATGTGTAACTAATTAAAAAAAAACTTTAAAGGGAGAGCTACTTATGAATGGTGCAACTAAATCAGCTACAAGGGATTGTGTGTAATTGTTCTTTGGGGATTGGTTGGAGATGGGTGAAATAATCAAAGATGGCTTCAGGGAGAAGATGGAGTTTTGAACAAGATTTTTTGAATTTGTTAGAGAGGTTTTAAAATAGGAAGGATATGAGTGTTGTGAGGGTTTCAGTGGATTAGAGCAGGAGTGTAAAATATTTTAGCTTTGTGCAATATGGTATCTGTAGTAACCACTGAGTTGAGCTATTGTGCAGAACCAGCCACAGATAACATAAATGAATTAGCATGGCTGTGCTCTACAGTCTAAAGTTTGGATTGTCATGTGGCAAAAAGGTTAATTCTTTTGCTTTTATTTTAGCCATTAAAAATGTAAAAATCCTATTTTATAAGTGGCGTTGAGAAAACTGGAATTGCACTCTTACTTTATACCAAATATAAAAATAAATTCTAAGTGATTCAAAGACTTAAACATACAAGCTAAAACTATAAAATTCTTAGAAGAAAATGTAATTGGACTGGTGTGGTGGCGCATGCCTATAATCCCAGAAGATTGGGAGACTGACGCAAGAGGATCACTAGTTCAAAGCCAGCCTCAGCAATAGGGAGGCACTAAGCAACTCAGGGAGACCCTGTCTCTAAATAAAATACAAAGTAACTGGAAGTTGGGTACGGTGGCCCTCACAAATTTGAGACCAGGCAGCAACTTGGCCTCTAAACAACTTAGCTATCTCAAGATAAAAAGGGGCTAGGGAGGTAGTAGTAAAGTGCTCTTGGATTCTGTACCCAGTACACGCCCCCCCCCAAAAAAAAAAAAATAAATAAACAGTTGGAAAGCTTCACAATTTGGACTTAGATGACAATTTCTGTTTCTTGGGCATGACACCAAAAGTACAGTCAGGAAAACAAAAAACTAGATAAATTGAATTATATCAAAATTTAAAACTTTGTGTATCAAAGAACACAGTGAAAAAGCAACCTTCAGAATGGGAGAAAATATTTGCAAATTATTTATTTGTAAAGAGGTTATAGTCCAGCAGGGTTCAGTGGTGCATACTTGTAATCCCAGTGGCTCAGGAGGGTGAGGCAGGAGGATCACAAGTTGAAAGCCAGCCTTAGCAACTTAGAGAGGCCCAGTCTCAAAATAAAGAATAAAAAGGGCTGGGGATATAACTCAGGTGCTTGAGTTTTTCTGTTGGATTTAATCCCTGGTACCAAAAAAAAAAAAAAGAGGTTACTATCTAGAATACGAACAGAATTCCTATAACTCAACAACAAGAAAACAATCCAATTAAAAAAAAAAATGGGAAAGGACTTGAACAAATATTTCCCCAGAGAAAATAATAAAGTGGCCAGCAAACACATGAAGAGGTACTCAGCATCACCAATCTTTAGGGAAATACAAATCAAAACCACAGTCAGCCAGACGCATGGTTCACACCTGTATGTAATACAGTTACTTGGGTGGCTGAGGCAGGGGAATCCTAAGTTTGAGGCCAGCCTTAACTTAGTGAGACCTTGTCTCAAAATAAAAAACAAAAAGTGCTGGGATGTGGCTTAGTAATTAATTGTCCCTGAGTTCAAAACCCAGTGAGTGGGGGAGACAGACACAAAAGCCATCATGAGATACCATCTCATACCCATTATGATAGTGACTATCAGAAATCAGAAAGTAGGGTGTAGCTCAGTGGCAAAGGGCTTTCCCTGAACGTGTAAGGCTTTATTTCAATTCACCAGCAATTAAAAAGTATATATATTGATTGATGAGAATGTGGAAAAGGTAGAATTCTTGTGCACTATTGGCAGGAATGTAAAATTATGCAGCCAGCATGAGAAACAGTGTGTAGTGGCTTGTCAAAAAGTTACGAAGCCTTGTGTGGTGACACCTGCCTATAATCTCAGCAAGGTGGGAGGCTGAGGCAGAAGGATTATAAGTCCTATACAAGCCTTAGCAACTCAGCAAGACCCTATCTCAAAATAAAAAAAAAATAAACGCTGGGTATATAGCTTGGTGGTAGAGTGCCACTGGGTTCAGTCCCCATTCCCCAAATAAATAAATAAATAAAGGATCAGCATCTGCTTTGGGAATTCCATTTATGGGTACATAAAAGAACTGGAAGCAGGAACTAGAAGAGATACTTATACCCATGTTCATAGCAGTGTTATTCATAATATTGGGTAAAAACAACCCAGAAATCCATCAAGCGATGAATGGATGAACAACATGTGCATATATGTATAATGATGTATATTATCAGGCTTAAAAAGGAAGTTCTGGGGGCTGGGGTTGTGGCTCAGCGGTAGAGCGCTCACCTAGCCCGTGTTCAGCCCTGGGTTCGATCCCCAGCACCACATAAAAATAAATAAAATAAAGGTATTGTCTCCAAAAAGGAAGTTCTGACCCATGGATACAACACGGATAAACCTTGAGGACACTATACTAAGTGAAATAAGCCATTCACAGAAGGACAAATACTGTATGATTCCATTTACTGAGGTGCCTAGAGTAGTCAGATTCATGAAGACAAAGTGGTTGTTGGTCAGTGATTTTTAATGGGTATGGAATGTAGTGCAAGTTGAAAAGAGTTCTGGAGATTGTATAACAACTGAAATGTATACTTGAAAATGGTTAAGATGGTGAATATTGTTATATTTTACCACATTTTAAAAAGAAAAAAATTACCTAACTTCCCCCCAATATAAAAAATATTCTTAGCTCATAAGCCAAATAGAAACTGTCAGTTGGGCTGGTTTAGCTCCTGGCCTAGAGTTAGAAGAACAGTGCAATGAATGTACCTCTTCTTGCTCATTCATCCTTGGATATGCCCCCTCAGGTCGTGTTTAGTCTTCCCACTATCAGTGTATTGACCTTATCAATCCTTCTCACCTCCAGTGACCTCTTCCATCCCAGTGTTTGACCTCCAGGATGGTGGACGGAAAATATGCCCGCGGTGTAATGCTCAATTCCGTGTTACTGAAGCTTTGAGAGGTCACATGTGTGTAAGTGATACCTCCTGTGATAAGGATCCAGCCTAAGTGGCTTATTGCTGTATACCTCTAATTTGGGGAGACTGTGAAGCAGGGGCTTTTTATCTATTTATTTATTTATATTTTTTTAAAGAGAGAGAATTTCCCAATATTTATTTTTTAGTTTTCGGTGGACACAACATGTATTATTTTTTTTTTTATGTGGTGCTGAGGATCGAACCCAGCGCCCCACGCATGCCCGGCGAGTGTGCTACCAGCTGAGCCACATCCCCAGCCGGCTTTGTGTTTTTAAAAAGTTATTCTGTCTTTTGGTCCACTATAGAAGAGCTGTGTACTTTGGGATGTAATACATTTAAAGACCTTCAAATAGATCAGAACATATGTGACCTTACTTCTTTAGTGTGATAGATTTCAAAACTGCAGAGACAAAACTGCAGGTTTAGGTGAAGATCTCAAATCCTCTTGACCTCAGTTCATTTTCTAGTAAATGACATTGAGTGAACCAGGAGCTGTGTGTTACTTGGTTTCCATTTTCTGACCTTTTCATTTTTTGATATTAGTCCAGTTGAAAGGTTGGAACTTCATCTGCCAGGGAGCTCAGAGCCAAATGATAGTAGTAAGTAGTTATGGGATCTAAGAAGGCAGAGAGAGAAGTATAAGGCATGATGCTCAGGGGCTATATGACTGGACATAACGCTAGAAGAAGAGTGAAATCTGGAAACATTGTAGCAAACTGAAGGATGAAAGCTGAGTAATAATCCCTTACTATTAAGCTAGGCATGTAACTGTAGTGGGGAGGCTGAGGCAAGAGGATTGCTCCAGCCCAAGAGGTCGGACTGGGCAACATAGCAAGACCTATTTCAATAAAAGTTTGTTATTAGAGAATATTAGTGAAGTTGAGTTAGCACATTGTAGCCACCTGGATAATGAGGATGATCAGATGTCTTCTTTCTTTTTAGTACTGTTGCCCAGAAATGGTTGAATACCAGAAGAAAGGAAAGTCCCTGGATTCAGAACCCAGCGTCCAATCAGCAGCAAAGCCCCCATCCCCTGAGAAAACAGCTCCTATTACTTCCACACCCTCGTCTACACCTATTCCTGCTCTGTCACCACCTACCAAAGTACCAGAGCCAAATGAGAATGTTGGTGATGCTGTCCAGACCAAACTCATTATGCTAGTAGATGACTTCTACTATGGACGGGACGGTGGCAAAGTATCCCAACTCACAAACTTCCCTAAGGTTGCCACATCTTTCCGATGCCCACATTGTACCAAAAGGCTAAAAAACAACATTCGGTAAGTGTGAAGAGCTTTGGAGGTTAACTTACAAAAAAAGATGAATTAATTTGAGGTTGGGGATTTAGCTCAATGACAGTGCACACACAGGTGCACACAAGGCCCTGGGTTTGGTCCTCAGCTGGGGGTGAGGGGAGTTTGCTTAATTTTTCTTATATTTTAAAGTCCTTCTCATTGGAGAAAGTTCCTATGATATAATCTTGCTGGGGTTATTAAATTAATAACTGGTGCTGTAGAAGAGAGGTATTGTAATAAAAGTAGCTTTGGCAGAGTAAGGGAGACCAGTGCATCTCCTCCCAGAGAATGCTTTTAGTTTCATGAACCCCTTATCTTTCTGAACCTGGGACTGTCCTAGATGGGGAAATTGAGAGAGGAAAGCAGATAATGTTTGTACATGATTCTACCATTGTGTTTCTCAAAGGCTGTTGGTTTGTCTCTTGTGCTCTCCCTGTGCTCTGCTGCAGATTCATGAACCATATGAAGCACCACGTAGAGCTTGATCAGCAGAACGGTGAGGTGGACGGTCACACCATCTGTCAGCACTGCTACCGCCAGTTTTCCACGCCCTTCCAGCTCCAGTGCCACTTGGAAAATGTTCACAGTCCCTATGAATCTACTAGTAAGTCTGGAAACTTAAATTCTAGTACTTACCTGTGGGTGACATTGTAGAGGAAGTACTTTACATATTTGTAGCTATCTATTAACTTTACTTACTCTCTTACCCTGTTTCCTTTTTTTTTTGGTACCAGGAATTGAACCCAGGGGTGATTAACCACTGAACCACCTCCTCAGTCCATTTTTATATTTTATTTTGAGACAGGACCTCACTAACTTGCTGAGGCCAGCCTTAAATCTGCAGTCCTCCTGCATCAACCTCCCAAGATGCTGGGATTACAGGCATGTGCCACCATGCCTACTTAACCCTGTTTTCTTATAAGTCTTACTTACAGACCTTGACCATTAAGGCTTTTCAGGGGGCTGGGGTTGTGGCTCAGTGGGAGAGTGCTCGCCTAGTATGCATGAGGCATTGGGTTTGATCCTCAGCACCACATAAAGACATTGTGTCCACCTAAAACTGAGAAATAAATGTTAAAAAAAAAAAAGAAGAAGAAGAAGAGGACTGTTTTCAGTAAAATATATGATAAGCTGGAATGTTATCTACATGGTACATCTTTTTTTTTTTTTCTTTTAGTATTTTTTCAGTTGTCAATGGACAACTGAATCAAACCCAGGGCCTCACACATGCTAGGGAAGTGCTCTACCACTGAGCCACAACCTCAGCCCTACTTTGTACATCTTATAGAAGGGGATACACAAGGCTAAACATGAGCTCAGGGGAATTAAGCCATTTGCTTAAGAATATGCGCTTGTGGGCTGGGAATGTGGCTCAAGCGGTAGTGCCCTCGCCTGGCTTGTGTGCGGCCCGGGTTCGATCCTCAGCACCACATACAAACAAAGATGCTGTGTCCGCCGAAAAAAAATTGAAAAATAAATATTAAAAAAATTCTCTCTCTCTCCTCTCAAAAAAAAAAAAAAAATGAATATGCACTTGTAGTAAGTTAACCTTTTGAGAATTTGAGCCCCATTTTCAGAATATTTCTAATGTCTTCAAGGGATTCCCAGTTTTGTTGAAAAGACAAATACTATGGGTGTATAGGAAAATGTTATAAGACAATATATTATAAACATGCGTACATGCGTTCTTTGATACGAAGGATAAATGAGATAATTCAGAGAAGAAAAACATCTTGTGGTCAGGGTTCACAGAGAGTGGTGGTTAAACTTGTAGGGTTTCGGGCTGGGGATGTGGCTCAAGCGGTGGCGCGCTCGCCTGGCATGCGTGCGTCCCGGGTTCGATCCTCAGCACCACATACAAACAAAGATGTTGTGTCCGCCGATAACTAAAAAATAAATATTAAAATTCTCTCTCTCCCTCTCCCTCTCTCTTAAAAAAAAAACAACAAAAACTTGTAGGGTTTCTATAAGAAGAATTTAGACAGATGGGAATTACTGAAAAAAGCTTTTAGTTAATTGAAACATCATGATTAAAAGCATTAAGACAGAAATGTTTATTATCTAAATGCATTTGCTGCAAATAAAATTTTGACTAAAGATGAATTAAACAACAAGGACATCTATATGTTACTTAACAGATCTAGAGATAAAGTAGGCTTCAGCTCCGGAAATTCACTGCCTCACTGCTTCTTAACTCTTATCTCTGGCTGTGTTAGTCTCGGGTACTACATCCAGACATAGACTTGTCTAGACACAGAAGGGGCCACATCTTCCTCTGTCTTTCTTGAATCTGTTTTATATGAGTAGGATATTGTTTTTCTTTTATATCCCCTTAGACATAATTAGGCCACAGGCCTATTCCTAAACAGTTTTTAGTGAGAGAAGTGGGATCACCATGAAGTAACCTTGTCAGTAGAAATATAATTTAACCCATGTACAGAATTGTGATTTTTTTTTTTTAGTAGTCATTTTAAGTAAAGTTTCTTAAAAAGGTAAAGTTAATATAAGGATTCTTTTTTTTCCATCAGAATATAGGATTTTGAAATATAGGTCTCAATTTGGGTTTATCACATTTCGCGTGTTCACTAGCTTCATGTTGCTGGTGGCTTCCATGTTGAACAGTGGAAGTTTGAGGACTAATCATTTGGGGGTGGACAGAATCAGTCATTATGACACCATAGTATGATGCCAGAGGATAGCCATCCTGATCTACTTTACTACCCAAAATTCTTCACTGTCAATGATGTGAAGCCAGAATACCTCATTCACACACCTCCCAGTGAAAACACCTGCTGTGCATGCATGGTGTGTGTGTGTGCGCGCACGCGCGTATGTAAATATGTGTGGTGTTGCTGGGGATTGAACCTAGCGCCTTATGAATGCTAGGCCTGTACTCTGCTACCAAGTTCCATCTCAGGTTCCTAGCTCATTTTTAGAATCTAATAAGTAGGTTTTTGTCATTCCATTTATGTATGAATTCTCTATGGGAACAATAAAACAGTGCAGACTCTTTCTTGATATTTTTCTCTTGGCTTCCTACTTGTGTTATCCCTGGCTTTATTTTTGAGTGTCTTATGACTTAAAATTTTGTACTGATTAAAAACTTAAATTGGGTCTGGGGTTGTGGCTCAGTGGTAGAGTGCTTCCCTAGCATGTTCGAAGCACTGGGTTTGATTCTTAGCACCACAAATAAATAAATGAATAAAATAAAGGTCCATCAACATCTAAAAAAAAACGTGTTAGTAAGTGGTGCACACCGTAATCCCAGCAACTTGGGAGGCTGAAGCGGAAGGATCACAAATTCAAACTCAGTCTCAGCAACTTCGTAAGACCCTATCTCAAGATAAAAATAAAGGTGTGTGTGTGTGGTTCAATGGTAGAGCACCCCTGGGTTTGATCAGAAGTATCACCAACAAAAACGAACCAAAAAAAAAAACCCTTGTGATCCTAACAGATAAATACCTTTCCAAAGCATCTACCAGTTCTTTTTGTTTACTGTGATACTGGGGATCGAACCCAGGAACACTCTACAACTGAACTATATCCCCAACCATTTTCTTTCTTTCTTTCTTTTAATATTTATTTATTTAGTTGTAGTTAGACACAATATCTTTATTTTATTTATTTATATGTGGTGAGGAGGTTCTAACCCAGGGCCTCGAACATGCTAGGTGAGCGCTTTACCTCTGATCCACAACCCCAGCCCCTTCTTTTTATTTTTTTAATAACTTTATTTATCTTTATGTGGTGCTGAGGATCGAACCCAGGGCCTTGCGCTCTACCACTGAGCCACAACCCCAGCCCCCGCCTTCCATTTTTTTATTTTAAGAAAAGCTTCTAGTTAGCAGTAATCCCACCTCAGATAAACTTCATTGGCTACAGTACTGCAACTGCACAAAGCTTCTTTTTTATTTTAATATAGGGTTTCCCCGAAATTGCCCAGGCTGACCAACTTGCAATCCTCCCACCTCAGCCTCCCCAAACTGGGATTACAGGCATACAGCGGGGTACCCTGTTACAGGCAGGACTGTAAGGAACCTGTGTGGCTTTTGAGTTCTTTCACAATTTGCTTGGTGCTATTTAATAGTTGTGTGTGTATTTGGTGTCGGGCATTGATCACAAGATCTTGTGCAAGCACTCTACCACTGAGCTATATCCCCAGGCCATAGTTTTTTTAAATTTATATGTAACATAAAGAACTCAACCTGCTTGTCTGTTGGATGTACTGTGAACCCCTTGAAATAATATGCACACTTTGAATGTGTGCATTCTTCAGGGGAGGGGTTACATGGCTTTTATTAGTCTCAAAGGGGTTCATAATTCATAAAATGGTTAGGGCTAATCTTTACGTTTGTTTTCTGTACTGGCTAACCTAAGTTGCTTTTTTTTTTTTCTCCCAAAGATTCTAATGTTATTCCTCCTGGCATCATTACTCCCATCTCTTAGCATCCATCAAAGGCAACTTAAGTTAGTCTTCTAAACTTTCCAAAAAAATTTGTTGGTAGAAAAAGAACAGTAGATGAGGAAGTGGTTACCATTGAGGGAGGGATGATTTAAACATGGCTGAACCAGGTCAGGTTCAACAGAAGGTACCCATGCACATGGAGTCATAAGGGAGAACTGATTCATAAACTCACAGACTGTATGGAATCAGGGTGGGGTTCACAGGAGCCTTAGAAAGCCACAGGGGAGCCAGATGTGGTGGTGCACACCTATAATCCCAGCAGCTCAGAAGGCTGAGGCAGGAGGATTACAAGTTCAAGGCCAGCCTCATCATCCTTTTTTTTTTTTTCTTTGAGGATTGAACCCAGGGGTGCTTAACCACTGAGCCATGTCTGCAGCCCCTTTTTTATATTTTATTTAGAGACAGAGTCTTGCTAAGTTGCTGAGGCTGGCTTGGAATGTGGGATCCTCCTGCCTTGGCCTCCTGAGTCACTGGCATACCACTGTCCTGGCCATTTTCATTCTTGAATCTTTTTGCACATTAGCTCCTTCTGTAAAACTGATATGTTAGGTTCCTAAAGATCTCTTGGATCCTCTTATGTCTTAAGTTCCTGTCTCCCTTATATCTCACTTGTTTTCTTAGTGTGACTAATACATGGAAATCCCAGCATGGTGCTTATACACGAGAAATCGCATTAGTAAATATTGTTTTTATTATTGATGTTGTGTGATAGCTGTGGCAATAGGCCTGATGTGTTGGAGGAAAGCCTTCAGGGTTGAAGGAGATTGCCCAAGGAGAACATCCAATCCGAAAGGCCTGGCAGAAGGTTGGAAAGCACCAATGCTTGAAGGTGTTCTGGGGGGGTAAGGGGATTGAAGGAAATAAACAAATTAGAGTTAGGAGAAAACATAGTGTGTGTGATGCTTTTAGTTAACTTTCCCAAACATATCCTGAACTTCACGCCTATATGTCTTTCCTCTTGTTTCTCTAGACTCCTTTGTTTCACAGACACACACACTCCCATTCTTAAAAAATCTAGCTTATGTGACTTATCACCATTTCTCTTTTCCTTAAGGCAGAATTTCTTATTTATCTCTGTCCTCATAACAACTAATAAATCTCTAGGCAGTAGTTTGAAATAGACTGCAGATACCTTTGAGAATAAACACAAAATCTATGAACCCTCTTAGAAAAACAGACATTCTACTCTTTCAAATAATTTCAGAAGATATCTGGGTTCCTGGAGCCTTATTTCATGGACCCCAGATTAAGAATCCCTGGCTTTTGTTTTTTTACTTAGAATTATTTCAAGGCCAAGCGCAGTGGCTCGGGAGGCTGAGTCAGGAGGATTTCGAGTTCAAAGCCAGCCTCAGCAACGGAGAGGTGCTAAGCAACTCAGTGAGACCCTGTCTCTAAATAAAATATAAGAATTACTTCAATATTATTCATTTTCAGGGGTGGAACAGTTAGTCCAGAAAATGCTTAAAGCTGAAATTTACAGTTTCCATGTTTGCAAAAACTTAATAATTCCAGTGAAAATTAAAAAAAAAAAAAAAACACAAATAACCCCCCTTTTGGCCATATGTATAATTCAAAAAATAAAACAGTTAAAATTTTTTGTCAAAAGTTTAGAATTGCATCCTCAAGCTTAACCAAAAAGCCTATTTCTTTCTTCCTTTTTTTTTTTTTTCTTTTGTTTGTTTGTTTGAAATAGGGTCTCAACTAAGTTGCTTAGGGCCTTGCTAAGTTGCTGAGGCTGGCCTTATACTCACAGTTATCTTACCTCAGCCTCCCAAGTTGATTATAGGCACTCAGTACCATACCTACCCTATTTCAAAATATAATTATCTTGAATGTGTAATATTGGAAAAGAAATGATAACTCTTATAACAAGGTAAGAATATTCATTAGTGATTGACATTGAAAGCAAATTCTTATTTTGTATTTAGGTGTTCAGTAGGTGTTTGTTGAATTATTCATAAGAGATAATTGTTGTCCTAAAGCAGAGTAAAGTCATATAGTATCTTAAAATAGTTCTTTTGTCCATGGTGATACTATATATTTATTGGAGAGAGAGTCATGTGGGCTTCCATCAGTTTTTGTCTATAATAACAGAGAAGTGGCAATTCCTAGATGCATTTTGAAATATTGGTAACAGAAAATGGGAGTCCGAGATTGGTACTTGACTTTTGAGTTAGAGATGAGGAAGTGAGAGGAGGAAACAGAACAATGCTGAATTAAGCTAGAGTTGAAAGTAGACAATTTAAAATGGACATAGCTTAAAATCTAAAATGGAACTTTGGTAAGAAGTCTGAGCTAGAGACATAGGTTAGTTGTTATAGCACCACAAATTTTAAGACAGAACCATTTTAAAAAATGTTTTTTCCTGTTTTTATTTGTTTCCTTTTAAAAAAATTTGTTCTTTTTAGATATACTTGAGTAGAGTTATTCTGATTAAGATCCCATTCTTGTGGCTGTACATGATGTAGTGTATTCATATATGAACATATGAAAATGATATCAGATTCATTTCAGTCTTTCCCAATCCTGTTCACTTCCTCCCCTTCCTTCTCCTTTGTTTAATCCAGTGAACTCCTGTCCCCCCCCCTTTATGTCTGATTCACTCCACAGTCTTTCCATTCCCCCTGCTTACCCCTGAGACATAACCATTTTAAAGAAAAAATAGAAGGAAACCATGATTTACTGATGGTCAAAGATGTGTCAGAAAAAAGATAATGAGAACTTTTGGTCTGATTTTCAGGTGCACTTATTGATTGTTTTTGTTTCTGCTTGTTTGTTTACAGCCAAGTGCAAGATCTGTGAGTGGGCATTTGAAAGTGAGCCTCTGTTTCTCCAGCATATGAAGGATACACATAAGCCTGGGGAGATGCCTTATGTTTGCCAGGTATTGCCTTTTTCTCTAGGCATTTTAGCTATTTGGCTCTCAGATTGAATACAAAGAATTCACTGATGAATAGTTTGGAATACGGCTGCAAACATTCAGTTTCCAACACTGAAGAAGTATAGATAATAACTTTCTTTCTTCAGTAAAGAAATGAAATTTGTAGGATAAAAACAAAAGAACATAATGACAAGTGTAATATTTACCCAGCCAAAGAACATGTGCATATACTGAAAGAATGCCTGGATTTGCCCCTTGGAGATGGACAGAGAAGGCTTTATTCCTTAATTATAGAAAATGGATCATTCTCAGACTTCCTTGACCTTCTTTAATTTTATCTTTAGTCCCAGCTAAATTTAAAATTAATCACGTAGATCTATCTGCATTTCAAATTCAGAAAAATAATTTCTACACAAATAGGGCAAACCCTCCCCCCCCAATTTAAAAATTTTGGTTGCCACCTTTTTAAGGCCACAGTTGTTCACTTTTAGCCTCATTTTTCCTCTCTTGTGTTTCAGGTGTGTCAGTATCGCTCCTCACTCTACTCTGAGGTAGATGTCCATTTTCGGATGATCCACGAGGATACACGGCATCTGCTCTGCCCTTATTGCCTGAAGGTCTTCAAAAATGGCAACGCGTTCCAGCAGCATTACATGAGGCACCAGGTACCCAGCACCATGCACCCCTTGTCTTCACTTGCTTCATTTGTGGATGCTGGGGCCAGGGTTGAGCTAGGCAGATAATATATATGTGTTTGTAAAAAAAATCATGGAATTTCAGGTATGGCCATGTACCTAGGGTAGGCGGTAGAGATTTCAGTGGTAAACAAAACACAGTCAAGTACAAGTGTCATGTTGGAGGTTGTGCAGGGTGCAGGAAAGGTAAAGTGCAAGTGTCATGTTGGGGACTGTGCAGGGTGCAGAAACGCACTTTCCTGTTAGGGGCCTCGTGAGGCTTCCAAAAAGAGGTATTCAACCTGAGGGGTGAATCTGGAGGAGCCAGACAGAGTAGGACAGGAGAATATGGACCTGATCAAGACCATGGCGACTCAGGAAACTGAGAGATGTTCCTTGTAGATAACAGAGTTACAGTGTGGGGGTGAGAAGGTAGAGACACATGGTGTGGGGACCCTGTAAACCATGAATAGGAATTACTGGGAAGACATTGGAAGGGTATAAGCACTGGAGTGATGTGTTCAGATTTGCTTTTAGTTAAGATTGTGGACTGGCTGCCTTGAGGAGAATAGATTAAAGGAGATTAAAACCAGAGTTAACAATACTAACCAGAAGGCTTTTGCAGTAGTTAAGTGAGAAATGATAATGGCTGTTGATTTTTTTTTTTTTTTTTTGTACCAGGGATTGAGCCACATCCCCAGCCCTTTTTATATTTTATTTAGAGCCAGGTCTTGCTGAGTTGCTTAGTGCCTTGCTGGTCTGAGGCTGGCTTTGAACCCTTGATCCTCCTGTGTCAGTGTTCTGAGTTGCTGGGATTACAGGCGTGCACCACCATGCCTGGCGGCAGTTGACTTTTGAAATGAAAAAAAGGATAAAGTTGATATATATGATGTTTATGATTCCATAGTGTTTAGCCAGGCCCGGTGGTGCACACCTGTAATCCCAGCGGCACCAAAGGCTGAGGCAAGAGTATCGCAAGTTCAAAGCCAACCTCAGGAACTTAGTGAGGCCCCCTAGAACTTAGTGAGACACTGTCTCAAAATTAAAAATAAAATGGGCTGGGGATGTGGTTCAGTGGTTGGTTCAGTAGTTGAGTGCCCCTCCCTGGGTTCTTTACAGAGATGCAAACAATAAGTTGGGAAGAATCTGTCCAAATTCATAATCTTCTTCCCCAAAGAAGTAGTTTCATAAATCTTCCCAAAAGAAGATTATGAGTTTGGATATTCTGAGTTATTGTTTGTGAACATCAAGTATACTATTGAATAATAGGTCTGAATTCTGGGAGAAAAGTTTTGAGTTGTTGAAAGATACTTGTAGATCGTTATTATGTAAGTTCAATAGATTTTAAACTTACTTGTCATGAGCTCTCCAGCACTGTGGAGAATAAGATAAAGGCTTAGGATCCTTCATAGTCTCTATCTACAAAGCTAGTGCCATAGTTTAGGAAAACCAGAAGAGTATTGGTGTTGAAGAAGCTGAGGAGAATGAAGTGCTTTGAAAAGAGTGTGACCAAAATGTCACATGTGGGGCTGGGGTTGTGACTCAGCAGTAGAGCACTTGCCTCACATGTGTGAGGCCCTGGGTTCAATCCTCAGCATTACATAAAAATAAATAAACCAAATAAAGGTATTATGTCCAACTACAACTAAAAAATAATTTCTTTAAAATGTCACATGTTGCAAGGAGGTGTCAAGTAAGGTAGAAACTTAGAGGTAGACTTTTAATTTAGCAACATTGACAAGAATCATTTTGCTGGCTGATAGGGTGGAAGTCCGATTTTTAGCAAGAGAAATAAAAGAGGGAAGGAAACAGACAACTTGTTTAAAGAAGTTTGTTTATGAAGGATAGAACAGAGGGTAGAAGACAGGCAAAAGGGAGCAGCAGGGAAGAATTTTGTGATGTTGCTTTTGTAGTATTTTGTTTATAAGATGGAGTAGAAGAGACCTTGTTTTAAAATGCTTCAAGAAAAGAGCCATGCTAAGCAACTTGGTGAGATCCTATCTCAAAATAAAAAAGAAGACGGGCTGGGCATGTAGTTTAGTGGTAAAGCACCCCTGAATTCAGTCCCCACTACCAAAAGAAGAAAAGATCTATAGGAAGAGCAAAGGTACATAAGAAATGATACAAAATTTAGAACAAAATGGGTACATGTGTGCACAGTGTTCACACATATGTGCACAGAGACGTGTGCACACTGTTATTTGTAAGCACCCCTCTTCTCTCACGCTCCTCTTTTGCACAATAGTGACTGCTAATAATCCACCACAAATGTATTTCCAAACAGGGGCATGGAAATTGTCACTTGTAACTCAGTTTAATGTTACATTTCCTTGTATCCTAGCAAAGAAAATCATAGACAAGAATTCTAGTTTTGAAGGACCTAAGTACCAGCCAGATTGAATCTTCAAAATGGTCCCACAAAGGAAGTATATCTGTATATATTGATGTGTTAAGAGGAAAACAAGCAAGGTCTGGGGTTGTGGCTCAGTGCTAGAGCGCTTGCCTAGCATGTGTGAGGCACTGGGTTTGATTCTCGGCATTGCATATAAGCAAATAAATAAAGGTCCATCAATAACTAATAAAAACATTTTTTTAGAAAAGGAAAAACAGCAAGATATAGACAAGTATTGTCATTTGTGTTAATAAGTAAATAAAAGTGGTGATCAGATTTGAATGTATGTCAAATGGTTATATGCATAGACTGTCCATGAAAAGATGCTCAGGAAACTGGTAACGTGCTCTTTCTGTGGATGGGACTAAGGGTCAGAGTCAGATGCAACCATGTAACATGCAAGAATGCAAGAATAAATATAGTTTTTATTTGTTTGCTTGATTACTTACCATGTGCATTTTATCTTCTTTAAAACAATCAAAAAGATGACTGTCCAGGATTAGGTAGCACTGTGTGCAATGTAAAGAAAGAGTAGGGTCAAGTGAAGCTTTTACGTAACTGTTACAAGTCCCGAAGGGGTGGCCTGAGGACCTACTTGCCCTGCCCTTTACTCCCTCTTCCTTGAGGAGTGTGAGAGATGGTGATTCTCAGTGGTAGGTTTTCTTGTGTATTTCTTTCTTATTAAATTAACAACAGAAAGATGGGAAGAGTGGTGGTCGGCATTGATCTACCTTCTCAGAGGAGAAAATTCACTGGGAACCTCTAAGGGATTCTTGTCTCTCTTTATTCCCCCCTAATCCCCTTTAGAAAAGAAATGTTTATCACTGCAACAAATGCCGGCTTCAGTTCCTCTTTGCAAAGGACAAAATTGAACATAAGCTTCAGCACCATAAAACCTTCCGTAAACCCAAGCAGCTGGAGGGCTTGAAACCAGGCACCAAGGTAAAGCAGGGAGAAGAGGAATAGAGATTTTCAGTGTTCTGAGGTTTACCGTGGTTGGTACCTAATTATTCCTTCACTTGATTCTCAGGTGACAATCCGGGCTTCCCGAGGGCAGCCACGAACTGTTCCTATAGCCTCCAATGATACACCTTCCAGCGCCTTGCAGGAGGGAGCCCCACTGACGACCTCAGCTGACCCTCTGCCTGTCTTCCTTTATCCCCCTGTCCAGCGCAACATCCAGAAGAGAGCTGTTAGGAAAATGTCAGCGCCTTCTTCTAAATGGTGGGGGGCCGTGGGGGGATGCTGTGTGGGCTGGATTATTCCTGCTAGCCAGTGTAATTGGATAGCCTTTTGCAGGATTAGTTGTCCAAAACCCTAAAGTTTGGGGATACTTGGCAGAAAGAGAATTTTCCTTGTTTTTTGTTTGTTTCTCCACAGGAGCGTCATGGGCCGGCAGACGTGCCTGGAGTGCAGCTTTGAGATCCCAGATTTCCCTAATCATTTCCCTACTTATGTACACTGCTCTCTGTGTCGCTATAGTACCTGTTGTTCTCGAGCTTATGCCAACCACATGATCAAGTAAGTCATGACTAAACTAGTCTTCCTACTTGGGAGTTCAGATTCTCTAGAACTCTCTTCATTCTCTCCCTTCTAGTTTGTTTCCTCCCTCAACTGTTAGAGCTGTTTGCCCAGCTCTCCTAGCAGGGTGGAGCCAAACCCATATTCACTTGGCTTTGGTGGCCTGTGCTCACTTTCCTACAGCCTTGCAGAGTGTGGTCCAAGGATCAGCAGTGTTAGGTGGGAGCCTGTTAGAAATGCGGACTCTGTAGCCACATGTGGTGGCACAGGCCTGAAATCTCAGAGACTTGGGAAGCTGAGGCAGGAGGATTGCACATTCAAGGCCAGTCTCAGCAACTTAGTGAGACCCTGTCTCAAAATAAAAAAATTTAAAAGGGCTGGCTGGCTCAGTGGTTAAGCACCACTGGGTTCAATCCCTGGTGCCAAAAAAATAAAAAGAAATGCTAACTCCAGCTCTACCCTAGACCTACTAAATTGAAATGTGGGGCTGGGGTTGTGGCTCAGTGGTAGAGTGCCCTCCTCCCATGTGTGAGGCGCTTGGTTCAATCCTCAGTACCATATAAAAATAAATAAAGATATTGTGTTCATCTACAACTAAAAAATATCTTTAAAAAATAAATAAAAATAAAAATAAATTGAAATGTTAATTATAAAAAACCCTCAAGTGATTTCATACACATTACTAAAATTTAAAAAGCATGGTGAGGGGCTGGGGATATGGCTCAAGGGTAGTGCGCTCCCCTGGCAGGCGTGCGGCCCGGGTTCGATCCTCAGCACCACATACAAACAAATATGTTGTGTCTGCCGAGAACTAAAAAATGTAAATAAAATATATTAAAAAATAAATAAATAAATAAATAAAAATTAAAAAGCATGGTGATAGGAAAACTGGATTGGATTGGGATTGGGAGGAATTAAAGAGGCATTGTTTTTGTGGGACAGTGTCATTGGCTGATGACCTCTAGTTTAGCTGGCAGAACTCCGTAACTTATGTCACTTTTTTGTCTTTCTCAGCAATCATGTTCCACGGAAGAGCCCCAAGTACTTGGCTTTGTTTAAAAATTCTGTGAGGTAATGAAAAACTTAATGGTACTCTTTAATTTTTCACATTTTTATATTAGATCCTTTTAATTATTTTGTGGGTGGTTATGTGAATGAATTTGAGAGAGGAGAGGATGGGGACTCTCCTTTAGTAAGCCTCAAAGTTTGAATTTCTCTAGTGTCACTGCTGTCTTTGTCTCACATGCTCTTGACTCTTATTTTCTTAGTGGAATCAAGCTGGCCTGCACTTCATGCACCTTTGTCACCTCCATGGGAGACGCCATGGCCAAGCATTTGGTGTTCAATCCCTCTCACAGATCCAGCAGCATCCTGCCCCGTGGTGAGTGGGCAGTGTGGGCGACCCCGGGCAGACTGAGTGAGGCCAGAGTGCGAGCACCGTCCTCCGGCCTCGCCCACTCACGGTTCAGATACAGCGCACCAAGTTAAGAGCCTCTGACCTCAAGTTCCTACCACTGAGTGCACACTCTGAAGAGTGTCTGTGTGGGTAGTCGGTTGAAAGCCCAGGTCACTGTCTTTGGAGGACTTCTTCCTTCACTGAGCTAACCTTTTTTTATTGTTTCATTTCCCCCAGGGCTCACCTGGATATCTCACTTAAGGTAACAAAAACTCTTTTTTTTTTTTTTTTGAGAGAGAGAGAGAGAGAGAGTTTTTTTTTGGTTTTTTTTTTTTTTTTTTTGGTTTTTTTTGTTGTTGTTGTTTTTGGTTTTGGTTTTTTTTAAGAGAGAGAGAGAAAGAGAATTTTTTAATGTTTATTTTTTAGTTTTCGGCGGGCACAACATCTTTGTTTGTATGTGGTGCTGAGGATCGAACCCGGGCTGCATGCCGCTTGAGCCACATCCCCAGCCCCACAAAAACTCTTTACTTCATGATTTAATTTTAGTTTTACAGTATGTTCACTATGATTGTCATTTAAATTTCTTAGTTTAATTGATCTTTCTCCTCCTTTCTTTGCTCTCCAACCCAATGCCCTTAGGCATGGGCAGACTCGGGACCGAGTGCATGACCGGAATTTGAAGAATATGTACCCTCCTCCTTCCTTCCCTCCTAATAAAGCTGCCACTGTGAAACCTGCTGGGCCTCCTGCCCCAGCTGAGCCCGAAGAGCTGCCCATCCCTGTGGCCCAGGCACTCCCATCTCCAGCCTCCACTGCAACCCCACCACCAACTCCCACTCACCCCCAGCCTTTAGCCCTCCCACCCTTGGCCCCAGAGGGGGCTGAATGTCTGAATGTTGATGACCAGGACGAAGGGAGCCCAGTCATCCAGGAACCTGAGCCAGCGTCAGGTGGCGGAGGCAATGGGGTTGGCAAGAAGGAGCAACTTTCCGTGAAGAAGCTTCGCGTAGTCCTTTTTGCCCTTTGCTGCAATACAGAACAGGCCGCTGAACACTTCCGAAATCCCCAGCGACGCATCCGGCGTTGGCTTCGTCGTTTCCAGGCCTCCCAGGGGGAGAATCTAGAGGGCAAATATCTAAGCTTTGAGGCAGAAGAGAAACTGGCCGAGTGGGTCCTGACCCAGCGAGAGCAGCAGCTGCCTGTGAATGAGGAGACCTTGTTTCAGAAAGCCACCAAAATAGGGCGTTCTTTGGAGGGGGGGTTTAAGATCTCCTATGAGTGGGCTGTGCGTTTCATGCTGCGACACCACCTGACTCCTCATGCCCGGCGAGCTGTGGCCCACACCTTGCCAAAGGACGTGGCAGAGAATGCAGGACTCTTCATTGAGTTTGTACAGCGGCAAATTCATAACCAGGACCTACCCTTGTCTATGATCGTGGCTATCGATGAGATCTCCCTGTTCCTGGATACAGAGGTGCTGAGCAGCGACGACCGAAAGGAGAACGCCCTGCAGACCGTGGGCACAGGGGAACCTTGGTGTGACGTAGTGCTGGCCATTCTGGCAGATGGCACTGTCCTTCCCACCCTGGTTTTCTACAGAGGACAAATGGCTCAGCCTGCTAAGGTGCCGGACTCTATACTGCTAGAGGCAAAGGAGGGTGGCTACAGCGATGACGAGATCATGGAGCTGTGGTCATCCCGAGTGTGGCAGAAGCACACAGCTTGCCAGCGCAGCAAAGGCATGCTGGTGATGGACTGTCATCGCACTCACTTGTCAGAGGAGGTACTGGCGATGCTTAGTGCCTCGAGCACCTTGCCTGCAGTGGTTCCAGCAGGCTGTAGTTCCAAAATCCAGCCATTAGATGTGTGCATCAAACGAACTGTCAAGAACTTCCTGCACAAAAAGTGGAAGGAGCAGGCTCGGGAGATGGCAGACACTGCGTGTGATTCTGATGTCCTGCTTCAGCTGGTGCTGGTCTGGCTGGCTGAGGTGCTAGGCGTTATCGGGGACTGTCCTGAGCTAGTTCAGAGGTCCTTTCTTGTGGCTAGTGTCCTGCCAGGCCCTGATGGCAACATCAGCTCACCTACACGCAATGCTGACATGCAGGAGGAGCTCATTGCTTCCCTGGAGGAGCAGCTGAAGCTGAGCGGGGAACAGTCTGAGGAGCCCTCAGCTTCCACTCCCCGGCCCAGGTCGTCTCCTGAAGAGACAGTTGAGCCCGAAAGCCTTCATCAGCTCTTTGAGGGGGAAAGTGAGACGGAGTCTTTCTATGGCTTTGAAGAAGCTGACCTAGATCTGATGGAGATTTGAGTGTTGGGGTCTTGAGCGCTTGTGGAGTGGGGGTGGGGAAGTGGGGGAGGGGAGAGGGTTAGGGAAAGGGGCATACCAGGGTGAGGTACTTGGTTTATATTTTTAATTTTATGCCACCACCCCCCCCCAACATTGACTTACACATCCCTGTGAATTTGTGGATTATTAGAAAACTAGTAGTGATCACGTCTGAGCCAAGGAGCTGGCCCATTGGTCATTTACTTCCGCTAAAGTTTTTTGTGACTTTTTTTTATTTAAATTACTGTGTTTGGTATTTTTCTGATAAAAATCAAGAAAAAGAAAAAAAATCCTTTATGGGCGAATGTTAAATTGTTTTGGTTCCCCTTTTACCTCAATTGTACCATAGTACTTCTGGGTTTTTTGTTTTACTGTGTGGCCAATGTCTTTGGGCATGATGCTATCTAATAACCATTGTCAATGTGAGGACATTTCTGAAGATGGGAAAGACAAAAGTATGTAGCTCACAAACTGGTTTATATATACATGGATAAAAGAAACTTTTTTCATTGTGGTCTTAACACTTTTATATAAAAATGAAAATGGAAAAAAAATCCCACTGAACTCTCTCTTCCTTCTCCTTTTCCTTCTCTTTCCAGAGATGTTGTTTCTACAGCAACTCTAGATATAAAATTGTGGCTTTAAAAATGCATGAAACCACCTTTAATCATCCAGAATGATGAATAGATTTGTCTTTTTCTCACCACCCTTCCTACAACAGGAACACAACAAAAACAGTATTTTTTGCACTTGAGATCCTTGGCCCTTTCCCCATTCTTAACACCATCACTCTGGACAAAGGATCATACATGTGTCATTAGCAAACGAGGTACTGAGGTGGTCAAACAATGTTAGGGTGGAAGCCATTCCCAGTTATGAGTCTTCATCCTGCAAGCCCTTGGGGCAGTCCTTGCCATGTTGAACTTCATCCTGTTGAGTGGACAGCATGCCTGTTCAAGATCACAGGTCCTGCAGCCAGGAGCTCATTGTGCAGATGTTAAGTGTTGAACTTTAAAAAAGCAACAGCAACAACAACAAAAAAAAACCACTTGTTGCAAATCCTGCTTACCCTGTGACTTTCCCACATTTAATACTTAGAGAAGAATTCTGACACGAAGAACAGTGGGGGTGTGCACAAAGAAACAGACATGAATCTTTATTTTTCACTGCCAGCTTCAAGGAAAGAAAATCTTTTTCTACAATTTGCATGAGGGATTTTTTTTAAAACAAAAAAACTATGTACTCATGGTTATAAACCAAAATGTACTGTACCATACAGAGAAAAGGAGCAAAAAAACCAAGTCCACCTTTCCCACATCTACACCACTCTTCTGTCCATCCTGAGGCTATCAGCAATGTTTCCCTCCTGTGAGCCGAGGAGGCAACCTGCACAAGCTTGTAAATGGTTCATCTTTAAAATGTACATAAGTGGAACCTTTAATAAAATGAGGGGAAATGGATTTATAAACTGTCTTTTTTTCTAGGTGACCCTGTTTAAAAGGCTTTCACAGACTGGGGTATGCTCAAGATGTGAGGGGCCTGGTGGTGACAGGTGTGACATTTGTTACCACCCATTTCTCTCCCTGCCCTGTTTTTGTTTTTTAACCCCCAGCACACTATAATATAGTGAACTGGAGCAGTCCCTTCCAGAACAGCTTGGCCAGCTTTGTGACCTGTGGCATCTGAAGCTGAACTAAGGATCCACCTGAGCTTCTCTTCCCCAGCTTTTTGCCTGATGCCACTTTGACAGACTGTGGACTTTGACAGCCCTCTGCCTTTGAGAAAGCTCAAGACTATGGTCACTTCTGTCTACAACCTAATCCTACTCTTTGGTAGTCTCCGCAGCAGCCACAGCCTTAGCAGAGCTGGGTTTCTGGCCTCTGCACACTGACTTTCTGGATGGGTTAATTTTTCTAAGATCATACTACAGTGATCAGCTGGGTTTTGGCCAGGAAGTTGTCTTTGTGGACTCTGCCTGCATGGCTTAGTAGTAGAAGGTTTTTTGTTTTGTTTTTTATAATTCAGTTTAATCAATAAACAAGTATTTATTGACTACTTTGTGTTGAGACTGAATGTGTAGAAGTTTTATAGTTGAGCTCATGGTTTTCTTTTGCTTAAATTTACTGTTGCCTATATGCTTTCTCAAAAAGATTTGGAGAGGATATACATCAGGACCATCAAAGGAGTTCATTTTTAAAGTTCAAACTTTAAAACCATTCCAGGGATGCAACATTAGTAATATCCAACAGTCTGACTCAAAGGCTATACTTGGGACTTTTAATGAAATACTAGTAAGTAATTTCCTGACATTGCTAAAATTTAGTAGATGAACACTTTGGTTAAATATTGTTACACTGCTCAACAGTCCCCACATAAAAAGTGAGGTTAGAGGGGTGTGTGGGTTGGAGGTTACCACATCCAGCCAAGGGTAACTTGTTTTTGTTGTGCTGTTTATAGATATGACAGTAGAGTGCCTTTTGACGTCTTATATACATGGAGAATAACTTAATATCCCATTCGTGTGATTGTAGATGATGTGGAGTTTCACTGGTTGCATACTCATATATGAACAAAAGTAATCTTAGACATGCAGTATTTCAGTTGCTCTGTATATCTTTGAAATAGTGTTTTAATGATGGTTTGAAGCCATCAATAATGAGAAAAAACTCTTCTAGAATCTAGTGCAGTAGGGAAATTTTTTCAACAGCATCCAGTTGTCACAAAAGATCAAGTGTGGCTTCTACAGGAAACTGTCCCAGATTGACTATCACAGGTCTTCTGTACCTTCATACATAGAATGAAGAGCCTAAGGTTCTCTGATCAGGGAGAGAGATGATGCACAGCAGTATTTGTAGTTTAGCCCTTGGTGTGACCCAGTCAGAACAAAACCACTTGGCAAGTACTTTGAAAGACTGATTTATTTTACAAAAGAAAGGCTACCTTTGAACCAACCAAGTTCAAAGTTAAAGGTTACAATGTCAGGATAATGCAGCTGTATCATTCAAAGCCACTAAAAAAGAAAAGAGCATTAAAAAATTAGAATAAAAAGTATAAAGGCATCAATTTCTAAAAGCAGCTCTACCCTCCAACCAAAACCCTCTTCAGGTTTTCAGGTGGAACCCTCCAGAAAAGCCCAGCTTAGTGCAAGCCAACTATTCTACCACCTACTGTTTTCCCTACTCTAAATTTCAATCACCTGATCATGTGGGCAATATCCCAGTTGGTCTCTGCAGACAGTGGTCCCTCTATTTCAACACCTTTTTCAGTTACAGTGGCGATTTGAAACTGAAAGAAAACAGCTTTCAATGAAAATGGACAAGCTCAAATGAAGGAGTGTGTGCAAACCTCCCCCAAAAAATATGGAGTTATAGAAATGAGCTAATCTGTTCAGGGTTTACAAGTATCTACAACCTGCCAATTAGTTACCAAATTTTTTTGTTAATATTTCTCTAATTTGCAGTTGAACACATTACCTTTATTTTATTTCTTCATTTTTATGTAGTGCTGAGGATCAAACCCAGCGCCACGAACAGGCGAGCTAGGTGAGTGCTCTACTGCTGAGCCACAACCCCAGCCCCTAGGTTACCAAATTTTTATTATTCATTCATTCCTCACCCTGTTATAAGAGCGGGCATCTCGATAATACAGCACTCGCATGCAGCGTTCTACTAGTTCTCGGGCCTCAGCCTGGCTCAGCACTGGCTGTTTCTCCAGAACTTCTCGAAGAAGAGGCTAGAGATTGAGGAGGAAAAATGTGGGAGACATAAGGGGATGAGTAATAGGCTCTCTGTCTCTAACGCATACTATAAATAGCCATAAATGAGTGAAGAGGTCTACCTATTTTGTCAGTGAAATGCTTACTAAGACTTTTTTTTTAAGAGAATTTTTTTAATATTTATTTTTTAGTTTTCAGTGGACACAACATCTTTTTATTTTATTTTTATATGGTGCTGAGGATCAAACCCAGCGCCGCATGCATGCCAGGTGAGCACGCTACTGCTTGAGCCACATCCCCAGTCCAAGACTTTTATATATATATATATATATATATATATATATATATATATATATATATATATATATTTTTTTTTTAGTTCAGTTTTTTTTTTAATAATACCTTTATTATTTTTATGTGGTGCTGAGGATCCAACCCAGCGCCTCACTTGTGCCAAGTGAGCACTCTACCACTGAGCCACAACCCCAGCCCCATAAGCCCCTCTTAAAGGGTTAGAGCACCCACTCTGTGCACATACTGAATCTAAGTGCCAACATTTATAGATCAGATACAAAGAAAACCAGCTGCCCAGCCTAGGGATCCGAGCGTGTCCCTCATCAGAATTCCAAGAGCAGGGAAGCAGACAACCACTAAATCCCGGATTTACTACTCTCCTCTCTCCCACCTCTAGACCCACTACTTACCTGTGCCAAGTATGCACCATAACCAGTGGCCAGGGAAGGGGCTTCATAAGCTACACCAAGCATGTCCACATAACCAAGGAAGCTAAGGACACAAGGGGGCACAGAACTCATTTAAGCTTAAGTTTCTTAGCTGAAGAATAGGTTCATGGGTTCTGAGTTACAAGAGAAGGATGGCTTGGGGGGGTGGAGAGAGAACAGACACTACACAGGAGCTAGGTTGGGTGGTCAAGTAAGTTATCTGTATTCAAATAAACCTCTCTCCATTAGCATAGCCTCCGATGACCATGGTGTTCCACAGAGGGTTCATCTTGGAGCGGCGGCTGTACATGGCCCTGGTCAGCCACGAGTGAATAGCTCTAGGGCTATAGCTGTGGCCATCTCCCAACAGTTCCTCATCAATCCTTAAAAGGAATTGGTTGTGATAAAGATTGAGAATGGAAGTTGGGATCTCCATCCACCCCAAAAAGAAGTCATCAAGACCTAATCGCTTCCGCCCGCCCCGGCCACACTTCCGACCCACAACTCCCCCAGGTTTCGGGGCAGCCTCGAGCCTTCGCCCCGCTCAGGGAATAAAGCAGGACCTCCACCCCGACCTGGAAACTCCTCCTGGGCGCCGGGACTTACACCATCTGGCCGAGAACCTGCTTCAAATACTGGAAGTCGGCGTAGTCCCCGGAGGCTCCCAGCATAGTGCTGTTGTTGACGCGCATGATGCGGGAGATGTTGCGGAAACGGGCCAGCGAGCCGTAAGAGCCCAGCATGTCCGCCGCAATCACCACGCCGCCTTCGAACTTCACGCCGAGGACCGAGGTCCCGGTCACCATGGGGTTCCTGCGGGGTGGGGAAGTCTGGCGACGGGCGGCGCGGGGACGGCCCCGCGTCCCCTCTCCGAGCACCGGGCTCCGCTTCTGACATGCAGGTCACCTGCATTCTCCGCGCTTCCCCTGCGATTCGCACGCCCAGGGTAGTCCCTCGGGAGTCCCCACGTCGCCCTGCCTCGCTAAGAACCAGCCGGGAGCACCAGGCCCCCGGTCCCACCCCTACGCAGCCTAAGGGGAAGGACTTACTGGGTTCTCGTGATTGGACCCCCGCAGAGCGCGGACGCTGGGCCCATGAAGGGATCCGGAGTGGATGGGATGCGATAAAACTGCCCAGGTGCCGGACCCCCGGCCCAATGGCCAGACCGCGACTCCCAGAACGGTTCCATCTTAGTCACCGTAGCAGAAGAAATGAAAGCGCCGGCGCCCGCGGAAGCGGAATTGGTCCTTCAGTGCAACACTTTTCTTCTTCCCGCAAGCCACTTCCAACAGCCATGTTGGTGAGGTCATATCCGAAGATAGCGTGGGCCTCAGTAGCCCCTGAGACCGACGGTTGGAGTTGCCCAGCGTCGAGTCGCGTCGCGTCGCGTCTGGACGGTATTCTGATAGTCGTTTCAAGGAGGGGGGATGTGAAGGGTGGGTATGGGGTGGGGCGGCGGACACCTGGAAACACCGACCCGAGCGAGGGGTCGGCCCTTCTGGTGTTTTTCTTTGGGGTTGCTACAAATAAAAATAAAAAGCGAATGACAACATCGCCGGGCGTGGTGGCCCTCGCCTGTAATCCCAGCGGCTCGGGAGGCTGAAGCAGGAAGATGGCAAATTCGAGGCCGTTTGCAGCAATTTGGCGAGGCCCGGTGTGTCGGGGGCAGCTCAGCGGTGGAGCTGCCCGGGGCTGCGCGGCCGGCGTCCGCCCACAGCTAAGGACTATTTCGGGGAAAAGGAATAAAACGGTATCGTTCTGTTGCATATTGTCTGCGTGTACGAGTATGTAACAAGTCCCATCCGTATGTACAAGTATAACGGACCAATAAAAAGAAAAGTGGTAAAAAACAATATAAGAACTAAAAGTTAATAAATGAAAATAAAAAGGACTGAAAATGTGGCTCAGTGGTTAAGCTTCCCTGGGTTCAATCCCCAGTAAGCCCCCGTCCTAAAAAAAAGAAAGTATCAGTGAATCCAAGATCTGTACCTCGAAATCAGCCCCATGTGGCAGGCATTATTCAACCCATTTCATAGATAAGAAGCCAGATTTGAGGTAGACTGGTTAAGCCCTATCACACCACCAGGAATGGTGGAAATGAATCTTCAAACCCAGAATAAAAAAGTAATCCTACCTCAGATGGCTCACTTAGTCTCTGGGACCTCAGACAAAACGCTGAGAATGTCCTTATTGTCAGATGCCTGTAGTCACCTCTTAAGCAGCAGAAACATTCCACTGAGACTGTCGGATTGAAACTAAATTCTGATCGGAGGGTGGTGGCGCAGGCCTGTAATCCCAGGGCTGGGGAAGCTGAGGCAGGAGGATTGCAGCTCAAAGCCAGCCTCAGCAACAAGGAGGCACTAAGCAACTCAGTGAGACCAAAAATAAAAATAAAATAGGGCTGGGGATGTGGCTTGGCGGTATAGAGCCTCTGAGTTCAATCCCCAGTAACCTCCATCCCCACCAAAAAGAAAAAGAAAGAGGGGCTGGGGATGTGGCTCAAGCGGTAGCGACATGCGGCGCGGGTTCGATCCTCAGCACCACTCAGCACACACACTCACTCTCTCTCTCTCTCTCTCTCTCTCTCTCTCTCTCTCTCTCTCTCTCCCCCCCCTCTC